TTTTTTTTTTTTTTTTTTTTGATTAGGCATCAGTGAGCACTGTCCAGCTATGGATATCTGGAATCCTTGCTATCCTCAGAGTTCTCATTTCTCAGTCAACAGAGGATATAGTTCTGTCTCGTATTCAAGAGCTTTCCTTCTCCCCATACTTAATCTCACGTCAAGCAATTGACAGACTACGGTATGGAGAGAATGTGTCCACTCCTGAAGACCAATTTGAGGTGAAACAGGCTAAGTATATGCCTGAAGAGACATTTTCCAGGTATGTTATCTGCTAAACTTATAGCCTTTTGTGTAACTTTTGGTGATGTATTAAGTATTGGAAAAAAATAACCAATTGTAACTGGACAGCATCCAGAAACTTCTAAATGTTACTTGTATAGATGAGGAGCGGTGGTAAGCTGGGAAAGGAGCTTGTAGGGTAGAGTGGGCTGGGCTGCAGGTGGCCATATGATGTCGGGGGGGGGGATGAGAAATGTGTTTTGTTTTGGTCTTTTTTTGCAAGCTTAGTTGATAAGGCCAGGCATTATAGGAAACTGGAGGGGAAGTCCTGACCTCATTGAAGTCAGTGGCACAAGTCTCACTGACTTCAGTGGAACCATAATTTCATCTTGGAAACTGACTCTTCTTTCTCACTTCCCTCAACCTGTCTTGTAGTGTAGGTGTCTGATAATCGTAAATTTCAGGATTTTTACTTGTCAAGAGTAAGGGCCAGTAAAGAATTCCTCCCCCTTCCTTTGGATGGTTGACTACAGCTAAAGCTGGGGTAGTATTCTTTTTTGTTGTTGTTGTTGTTTTGTTGGTTTTTGACTGATGCTTCTGCTGGTGTTTTGAAATTTCTGAGGTTTTTTGATGTTAGATCTTGCTCTTCTGCTCAGGGTCATGCTGATTACCACATTTAGGGTCAGGAAGGAATTTTATTCCTTAAATCAGACTGGCCTGAACTCTGGTGGCTTTTGTCTTCCTCTAGTGCAGGGCAGGATGCATCTTAAGACCATAGCAGTCATTAAACAAATACTATCCATCTTCTTCATGCAGATCATGGACACTGTATTTCCTCTTTTTTTTTAACTTATTACATGTTTGTGGGGGTTCTTGTTACTTCAGGTGTTTGTGCTGGATTAAAGTGGTGGTTTGAGGATTATTTACAAACTCCTGGGAATGGATTTAATGGCTCATGAGACTCCTCCTAATTCAGTTCCACACTTGAACTTAAGTGACAAAAGGGCAGGATGTTTTGAGTGACTTTCTTTCATTTTCACAAGTAAAGAAAGTAAGGGTTACCTTTTTAAAACAATTAATTGGAATCAAGAACTGTCTTGAGGAGGAGGACTTCAGCAAAGCAAGTGAGAAAATTCGGATAGGGGTTAGTTGAAACTACTTTGGTTTTAACTGCAGAGGAAAAGGATCAGGATAGATTTTTTTTTTTTTTTTTTTTTTTGTTAACCACCTGAGTGAAGGTTTGAGAAGCTCATGAGAAGAGTAGGGTCCAATTTCCCTGCACCTTCCTTCAGTGAAGGGTGAGGATGGAGTTACATTTAGATTGGATCTTTGGGGAGAGAGGCCAATTTAGAATGGTTTAAACCTCCTTATTTATCCAGATATACTTTTGAAACAGTCCTCCTTGAACCAGTTCAGGTTTATTTGCAGACACCAGACTGTCACAAGTGTCTGGCCAGTCCTTCATGCTGCACTGCTTTTCACCCTGCCCCAACCCTTGCATGGCAGGTGACTACTCGGGTATGCATCCAGAACTCTGTTGCCCCAACCTGCATTGCCTGCACTTGATCCAGTCTGCTGTCCTGGGCTGATTTGGGTTGGGGGTGGCCAGGTGTGGTGCAGGGAGGGGAAGTACCCCTGCTTCTGGGTTCCTGGGGTGTTGGATTATCTGCAATGCTGCCCCATGTCTCCTCAGCTTTTAAATGGTACTTTCCCCCAGCTGCGTGGTAGTCTTATTCCACTGGTGGAAGGTTGACTAGGCTTTGGGGCATCCCAGCCTGATTTAGACTGGGGGGTTGCCCAGGTGGGTAGAGGGGGCACCCCTGCTTCTGCATGCCCAGAAACCTGGACAGTGCCAAGTACCCAGCACTCCAGGAACACAGAAGCAGGTACTTTCTCACCTGGCCACTCCTAAGGAAAGTCTTATTAAGGCAGTAGCCTGAGCAAGAGATCTTGGGCATCCCCCTGGAGTGCCCAGCCTTCTGGTTAGGGAGAAGCAGGTATTCAGGTAGGTCTTCTACAACTAACCAGCGAGCCCTTTACTACCAAATTTGCCTGTGATGCACCAAACTGGTACTTTGCCAGGAATGAAGTTAACTTGATGAGTGACTTGGGAAAATGTCTTTTAAAAGCTATGAAAACTGTGACAGTCCCAGAGCACCCAGTTCACAGCAACCCAGAAGCAGGGGTCCAGGCAGCCCTTCCCCCCATGCTGCACACTCCTGGGCAGCCCCAGTTGGGTGGTAAAGTGCAGGAATGGTCTTTATTGAACCTAGTGTTAGTGAGCAGGGGGATTGGAGAATTGCAGTTGTGGTCTATCTTCTTTTTCCTTGGTGTCCAGCGAATCAGGGTCTTTCTCCCTTGCTCAGGGAATATTGGGGAAACTGTGGCATTTGCCACTGGAAGGCAAAATGGGCTCAGTATTCACTACCAAGCCCATCTGCCACCCCCTGGTGGCAGGTTAGCAACACTGGAGTACCTAAAAGGAGACTATTCTACTTGGAAACCTTGGCTTTTTAGGTGTGGGCACCTCTCAGTTGTGACTCTTGTGAACCAGTTCCCAGTCGGTGATATTCTTGAGATAGTTTGAGTGTTATGTCTGCCTGCACCCTTAGATGCTAACTGAGGAATGGTATGGGTGAATTTGAGACTTGGCAGGTAGGCTTTTAGTTTCATCCTTGGCTTTTGAATGATTATTCCATTGGCCATCTTCAGGTGATTTAATGCTGCTGCCTGCTAAGAATGTGGAAGCCACAGGGGAGATGGTAGTGCTTGGTGGTACGGTGTTGGGGGCCCTCAAACTGGGATGAGAGCAAGATTTTGTGTAAGGTAGGAAACTGGTCGTAATAGTCTAGTCTCAGTGCCTCATTTCATCTCTCGTGTCTTGAGAGGTTGCCTACTTCATGTTAAATGCAAGGTGGGCAGTTTTAATAAGATGGTTATCAGTGATTTTGATAGAGATTGGGAGCTATAGAACTAAGACTTTGGGCCATCCTCTCACTTTGAGGGGGGAAATAAACACCACAATTTTCATCAAATTCTGCTTTGAAAAATAAATTTGACTGGAGCCAAGAACATGATCCTTGGGGACAGAGGAAGAAAAGAGATTTAGGGGAGAACAATTTAAAAATACATTCTGCAATATTTTTTCAGGGAAACATTCCAAAGTTTAACTGAGTAGGAAAATACTAACTTGGAACAGATAAGAAAACAAGTACACGTGTGTCTTTTTTGAGGGCTTTTTTTCTCACTGCTTTTTACAACTTCCATAGGGAACAGTTCATGTTGATCTAGTTGGTTTATATTGATATTTTACTTCTGTTAATTTTATGTACTTACTGTGTGTGTTGGTTCTTTCTAGGTTCTTATTACAGCTAGTGGGCATTCTTCTGGAAGACATTGTACATAAACAGTTGAAAGTGGATATGAATGAGCAGCAGCATACTTTCTATTGCCAAGAGCTGGGCACACTGCTTATGTGCCTTATACACATCTTCAAATCAGGTAATAATCTCAAAAAAGTTGTTTTGTAGCATAAGGGAAATTCTTCCTTGTTCTAAATCGGTTGTTTTGAGTTTTAAAATGTGTTTGTTGAGGATACTGGCTGTGTACAAAAGATCTCTCCTCTTCAAGATATTGCATGTCTCCATCAGACAGCCTTTTCAGATTTTGTTGTGTGTGTACCCCTTCTAGGACGTTTCCGTGCTCCATTATTTCTAGTTTGTTCTAGAAAGAATAACTTTCTTCCACTTACACTTTCCTTTTAATTGTCTAAAAGATTCCAGTTAAGAAAAGCCAATCACTCTCTTAACTCTTAGGCTGGGTTTCCCATATTTCACCCAAACTGATGAGGCTTGTTACAGGCATCCAAGCCATCTAAGATTTTAAATACAAGCCTTGCAAATATAAGGTTAAAATCTTGCCAAGGTTGCCTTAGCTTTCCATTATTGTATAGAAATACAAATACATCTGGGAGTTCTGTTCCAGCCATGTAGTTAGAAAGGCACTTCAGTTTTAAAAGTGGTCCTAGGCATTCCTTTCATTAGGTGCTTGAACATTAGCTCTAGGAGAACAAGCCTTCTTCCCTCTAGTTCTAATTTCCTGTCTACACAGCTAGATGCTGCAGCCTTTCTTCTCTCTGCATTCTCTGCCCTTTTTCTTTGATTTCTGGCTACTAGGACCTTCCTTTTTCCTTCTGATTTTCAGCCTGCAGTACCTGGCCCCTGGCAGCATAGCAGACTGGTTCCTGCTTAGTATGGCCTTTGTTCTGCCACCAGCCTGCTGTTCCACATGCTGTTTCCCCACAGACCTAAGGGGATCACAGTAGCACCAGAGCTTCTCCTGGAGCATTGCCAGCTAGCACAGATCAGCCTAAGCCACCTGCAGCTGCTCCACGTGTCTCCTATCCCCTTCCCTGTGACGGCTTGGTCTGATCCACCATCTGGGGTACACATGCTCTGCTCCTCTGGCTTGCACAGTCTTACCAGTCTGCCTTGTTTTCTGATGAGGATATCCTGGAGCCAGCTCAGCCCCCTCCCCCAAAAAGGTAGGCAAAGTATCCCTCCTCTACCCCAGAGTTTCTCCTTTAGCACTAAGGGCCCCAGTTCTGGGTTCCTCTCTGTATTCAGAAGGGTCTCTTCTCTGTACCTTCTCTGGGGTAAGTACTATTTTTGAAGTACTGATTATGACAGCTCTGTGGGGTTTGAGCTATCAATATCTCCTTGGGCATCTTGAGGCCTTTTATTTTACTTTTTTTAAGTGAGGTTCTACCAGGTGCTTGAATTCTGTCTATGTGCAGGGCTTCATGCCTGTCAGCCTTTTACCTTCTCCGGTCATTCAGCCTAGTTCTGTTCATTTGTGAATCATGTAGGTTCTGTCTGTGCAAACGTATTGGGAGCACTTGTTCCAGAATAGTTGTTTCTATATAACCACATATACAAGCTCTTGGTTTGGAATAAGTGCTTTACCCTTGGGAAGTGAATGACACGATAGTTGAAATTTAAACTGGTAGGGGGACACATACTTCTCTCACCCTTTGTCTATCCTATCTATTTAGTTGGTAGCAAGATCTGTACTTGTGATAACATCTTACTGTGCACAGATGGGCACCCACTCTGGTTGTGGCTTTTAAGCACTGCTCTAATACAAGCATCAGAGAGATGGAACTTCTCAAATCTCATTCACTTTTTCTTAATTTCTAGAAACCTTGGGATGTGTAGCTCTTCACGATGAGGAGAGGGGTCTTAATAAACATGGCTTCTGTCGTTCCTCATGCTACACTGAGTGGAGATCTATGCCAGTTTATTCCTAACCATTCTGATAAATGTTCTCTTGGCTCTTTTAGTCCCCTACCTGAGGGAGCTGCCAAGAACTGCAGTAGAGCAGATATTGAGGGCCGGAGAGAGAGAGAGAGTGCAAGTACCTGTCTTTTGGCATGGTGCTGTCCCACAAGCCTTTAGAAGATAGCTAAACCCAAATATTAAACAGTCTAAGAGTAATTGGTGCTGTCATACCTAAATTTTAAATCTGCAGGAAAAGTTACCCAATCTGCAACTGAATTTTATCTAACTTTACTTTCGTGTCTGTTGCCAAAAAAGGCATTGTGTTCCTTTCAGTTAACCATTAACACCTTAGCAAGCAAGCATACAGAGGAGACTCCTCTGTATTACCTCTGCACTAGCCTTGTATTTTTCTTTACTAGCTGCTGTTCTCTGATTGGTTCCTGAAAACATTACACTTATTCCAGTAGATTATCAACAAGTGCTTCCAGACCCTATTCTTAGGAGTTTTTGAAGATTTTTACCATTTTAGATGTATGTACTTAAAACTTTGGAGCAATTACTTTTTCACAGAATTGGAGTAGTTTAAACATGCTTATGTGAACAAAACCAGGGTGGGCACAGAAGATAAAAAAATACCTTTTTACCATCAGTACAGAAAAGAAAGAAGGTACCTATTGAGATGTGACAGTGAGTCTTGTAATTTCTTATTCCTCCACCTTGGCCTCCATAACATTGCCCTAGTGTAGCTTATTCAGAGTCATTTTAAAATCATCTTCCTTGTTTGACACAATCACAGAGTCTCCATTTTCTTGGTCACACACTTTCCATAAAATTCAAGGTTGTTGTCTTGGTCTTCAAGGCTGTGTATACTTTTCTGACCTGACTGATCTTTTCAAGTCTTCACTAATATCATCCCTGATCAACAGTTCATCCTCTTGTCCCTCAGCAATTGACAGAAAAGGGATGGTGCTATGGGGTGGTTGGGGCATTTGTCTGGGACTTGGGAGATTTGGGTTCAAGTTTGTGCTCCGCAGATTTCTTTTGTTGGCTTGGGCAAGTCGCTTAGCCTGTCTGTTCTGTAGCTTCCTGTGCCTAAAATGGGAATTGCATAGCTTGTGTACAAAAGTACCAGGTATTTTAGCACAATCTTTCATGCCACTCATAATGTTTGCAACCCGTCCTGAACAGCTGTGCTTAGCTACTGCCTTGTATTCCTTGAACTTTTTCCTAAGAGATTCTTTTGCTGTGATTGTCCACTTCATTAGAAAATTTGCTTCCACAGTCTCCTTTTTTCAGAGGGTTCCTATAGCCAAACAACTTCTGACAGTGTACACGTTTGGGTAAATGGACTCCACGTAATAGATGCATGCTGGAGCTGCTCAGTGCTTCAGGCTGATGCCCTTGTAGTTGAATTGTAAGGTCACAGGATTTGATAATTTCAGCTTCAGTTGTTTGCCTTTTCTGAATCCCCCGTGTTAACAGTGAATAGGAAGATAGATAGGAGAGCTGAGCTGGAGAGTATCGCTTCTGATATTTTGGTGGCTGCTTCTCTAACAGTCTTCCCTTTGGTTTACTGGAGGGGAGCCAAACTTGCATCTCCATTACCAAGACTGCAAGTGTGTGAGGTATAGAAGGAGTGGTGTGAATGGAAAGGACAGAAGAGTTTTTCAGCTTGAGTTATTGATCTCTATTCCTGGTTTCACAGCAGGCCTGGCTTCCTGGCCCTTGTGGAAGTCGTGTTCTTCCGCTCACAGCAAGTAATTTTTTCTATGGTGCTTTCATTGACAAATAATTGTTAAAACATTCATGAAATAGAGTAGCATAATCATCCATGATGGAAAAATCTCAGTGCTCTTGTTTGAAACTGGGGTTGGGAAGTGTGGGGTGAGATCAGGTCAGGTGCCATACAGCTTGTATTTTTTGTGCAGTAGGCCCAGGAGCAAGCACTTGAGAGCAACTGGATCAGCAGGAGCTTGTCTACTCAGACCTGCTTCCTAGCTCCATTGCCAGCTTCTTGGGCTTTCTGTTTCCCCTTTATTCCTATCCTGACTCTGCTTGCCAGCCTTTCCTTTTCCCCACATGGTGGTTAAGAGTTTTTATCAAACTCCTTCCTAGTAAACCACCCTAAGGCTTCTCACTTTTCGCCTTAACACTTCCCTTACTGCTTGGCTTGGAAAGGAAGAGTTGGTTAGAGCCCTTCTGTGTAAAGTGTCCCATTTTCCAGAGGAGAAATTTTCTCTGAGCTGGCTTTCTAGTACTGTCTCTCTAAGCACTTGGAGGGAAACATGCATTCATTGCCTCCTGTCTTCTCCTCATAGCCCTGTTTGATGTGGGATGTTGGGGCCTTAAGATTCTTGAAGTTGAAATTAAGAACTCGTGTCTGGAGAGCAAATGGTATCGAATTACTTAACTGCTTGTTACTTTGCTTTTCCTGGTTTGCATTATTGGGAAACAAAGTTTAGCAACCTCACAACTTACCTATTGCCTATTCAAAGAGTGTGGAAATTATTCACACGCAGTATTAAGGTGTATATGTGTAATTGGCCCTTGAATGGCTCTCTTACATAACGACTTAGATGCTTGACAGCAGAGCATGTTAAAGCACCCAAGCAATCATCACAGTTGAGAAGTCTAATCTCAAGATCTTTTTATTTAGGAGCACGGGTGCTATTTGTCACTCATAACCAGGGATCCTGGTTTTCCCTGTTTAAACAAATCCAAAATTCTCTGATTTTTTTTTTTTAAACCCCCCAAATCCACATTTTTCTGTAATTTTAAAATGAAAACAGATGGATATAGATACCAGTTGAACACTATATTTTATTGATATTTACAATTTTAAAGCAATTTGGAAGCTTACCAGTGCCTTAATAAATATAACAAAATAAATTCTAAATACCTATATATTTTGGCATTTCACTGTTTTGTTTTTTTTTATTGTGGAAAATCAGCGCTCCCCTGCCCCTTTTGCTCACCAGGATGCAGATCCCCAGCTATAGCTGTTGCCCCCCGCTGCTTTGTGGTACTGAGCAGCCCTGATATGCTGGTGCCCTGCTTATGCCATTGTCCTTCACTGCGACCCACAGTCCCCCACCCCC